CCCCCCCCCCCCCTCCCTCCCTCCTACCGCAGCAGTTTGACAGAAAAAGGCTACCCATCCTTCACACCTCTGCTGTGCTGCTAACTGACAAATATGAGCACGTAGTACGGATGCTTCTCTTGTCCTGGATGGTGGGTTTGGCCGGCCGGTCATCTCATCGACGGCTGGAACTGCACACACGCGCGCGCACACGCACACACGCGCATGAACACGCATGGGCGGCTCGATCCCTCCCTTCCCCTCTCTCTCTCTCCCACCAGTGGCCGCTTCTTCGGACGCACCCGGACCTCCTGCTGCACACACACCACACACACACGCGCCATATATCTGATATCACATTTCCACTGCAGGGAGGTAAGCAATACGCCGACCGGTTCTCGGTCCTCCTCCCGCTGTCGCCCCCGCTCCTCGCGAGCCTCCTCCCTGTTGCTGCTGGGCTGAAAGAACGACATGCCGCCCTGACGTGACACACACACCCACAGATATCGACCACAACACTCAACACACTGCCTGCAGTGATGATGCTCATGTGCATGTGTGTGGTTGGTCACCTTGTGGTTCTCCTTGACGAACACCTTGTACTCGAACCTCTGCACACACACACACACACACACTTGGGTCTCGTGTTTCGTGGATGCGTGTGTGGGTGTCTGTCTGGTGTGTGTCTCATGTGGCTGGCTGGCTGGCTGGCTGACCATTTTCTGGGACTGTCTGTTGCTGTCGTTGTTCGAAGCGTTACTGGCCCCTCCCCCCTGCTGCTGTGAGATGCCGTGCTCCGCCTCGTACTCGGCTCGCTTATGGGGGGGCAGCTGAGCCAACGACTGATGTGTGGAGACATACACGACCGAGACATAGAGACGCTCACGGCTGCGTATGCCGGTCTGTCTGTTTTGTTTGTGGGTCAGCCGGCTTGCCTTCTTGAAGATCTTGAAGTTGATGAGGCCCTTGGCACTACCACTACCACCAGCAGGCGCTGCGGCAGCAGCAGCAGCGGCTGCTGCTGCAGCTGGCGCAGGAGACCCCTGACACACACACACAAACACAAACACACACACACGCACACGCACACACGCACACGCACACGCACACGCACACGCACACGCACACAAAGGTGGTCATCCATTAGGACTCCCCTGTGAGCCCGCATATACCTGTTGCTGCTGGTCCCGTTTGTCGTCCTTGACTTTGATGTCGTCCGAGGCCACCACGGCAGCACGATGCACAACCACACCCTCACCACTGAAGACGGCACACGGCCATAGTTGTGTGTGTGTGTGTGTGTGTGCAGGAGGCTGGGGATTGGCTCACACACACACACACACACACGTACATCTGAATGGCGCCAGCAGCGAAGGCCTCCTTCCGCTCTTCAGGCTTGACGCGATACTCCTTGCGGTTGACCCACGCGCCCCGCTCCACCACCCTGGTCTCCTTCTTGGCCTCAACCACAGCCACGATCTTCTCATCCACACGACCCCTCCTGCACAACACACAACACCCACACACACAGGTGAAATTGAGAGCCATCCCGTATCTTCCCGCCGTTTGTTTTCTCTTCGGTCGCTCACTTGGTGTTGCGATTGGCCCCCGGCTCGTCTACCTCCATGGCCCTCTCCGCCGCCCGGTCCTTGGCCTCCTTCTCCTTCTTGGTCTCCTTGCGAGGCCCTGCAGCAGCGGCAGCCGCTGCCACTCCAGCAGCGCTCCGATCTCTGGGCGGCGCCCGGCCGGCCTTGGCTGTGGCCTTGGGGGCCGGTGGGGGACGGTCCTCGTCGTCTTGCTCATCTTGCGGCTGCGCGTCATCCTTCGGTGCATCCTGCGTGGGGTGGGTGCATGGAAGCATGTGTGTGTCTGTCTGTATGCCCTCCTGTGTGTCTGTGGGTGTGTCTGTTGTCACCGACCTCCATGAGCTCGTCGTCCACCTCCTTGTCGGGCGTCTTGCCGTCCTCCTTCTTGCGCCGCTTGGCCGGCTCCCCCTTCTGCTTGGCGTTGGTGAAGGTCGCAGGCAGCACCCTTTTCCGCTTGGGGGCCGCCGCTGATGCCGACGATGCCTGGGACGCCTGGGATGCCCCAGGGGGCGCTGCTGCTGCTGCTGCTGCTGCTGCGGGCGGTGGTGCTGGTGCTGGTGCTGCGGCGGGTGAGTGGCTCTCCTGTCTGTTCTCGGCCTCGGCCTCTTCCACTACCTCCATGTGTGCGCCTGCGCCGCTGGCCTGTCTGCTGATGGCCTTGGTCACTGTGTGTGCGGTGGGGGCCGTGTCGAGCTCTGCAGCGTCGCCCTTGAGGACGCACTGGCCCAGCACCTTGTGGTCCACCGTGGCAATCGACACGGAGATGTTGAGGGCGTCGCGTGAGCCTGTCAGCAAGGCGTCCTTGACCGAGGCCGAAGCAATCGCCCGCTCGAGTGAGGCGCCGAGGTCTGATGCAGATACGGCCTCCGCAGCGTCGCCGGCCGTCTGCATGCTGGCCGACTGGCTCTCCTGCTGCAGGGAGCTGGCGCTGCCCCCAGCCCCGCCCGCCGCACCCCCCACCAGCAGCACACGGCACGAGACATCCCTCTCGCCAGCCGACGGCAGTTGCTGCATCTCTTTCTGCAGCAGGGAGGCCAGCTGGCCCGTCAGGGCGTCGGCGTCATTGGGCGTCAGCACCGCGCCGCCCCCGGCCGGCACGCACCCGGCGAAGTAGTGGGCGATCTTGGTGCTGGCGAAGACGACCGTCTTGCCGGCGAAGAGGCGGCCCTTCCGCTGCTTGTGGTCAGGTCGGGTGACGTACTCCTTGAGCATGGCTGTCTGGATGTTGTTGGCCTGGTCGAGGCCAGAGGGGCGGTAGGTGGCTGCGGAGGGGTCGGGGAGCGAGCTGACGAGCCGGTTTGGCGACTCTGCGAGGGCCTTGAGGAAGGCGTGGTTGAGGACGGGCTTGTTCAGGGCCATGCACAGCAAGAGCTTCGGCGTCACCTTAATGCGATCCTGAGGGAGGGATCCCATCGCACACCACACCACACCAAAACAGACACAGACGTTTCTCTCTCTCTCTCTCTCTCTGACACACAAACACACACTGCATGTCTCTGCACCTACCTGGAGAAGGCAGTAGTGCGATTCGGCCATGGCACACGACGCCAGGTACATCCCGCCCTGCTGCGCCAGCTTGACCAGGCTCTCCTCAGGCGCAGCCGCGCTCCTCGTGGCCAGCACCAGCGGCTCGAACCGCACCACAAAGCTGGTCTTGCTCGCATTCAACCCGTCACCGAACCGCACACGATCTCCGCTGTTCAGCGGCACCTCCTGGCCGTGCACCTTCTTCTCCTCCGACTCTTCCGCCCCGTCCGACGTCACAAATGTGCCAAGAGAGGAGGTGTCCTCGAGCACCAGCTTCGGCGGCTCGACTTGCTGCGTCTGTGTCTTGATCTCGATGCTGGTGCGGCTGGGCTGGGAGATCTTGAGCTTGGCGTGGCTGCGCGAGACGGACTTCTCGCTCTCTATGTTGAGGTGGCAGTTCTTGCGGCCGACGGTGACGGTGCCGGGGAGGAGGAAGTAGCTCACCGGCGGGTCCGTGGTGGACGTCAGGCGCCAGCTCATGACGATGGCTGGAAAGGTGGGATGCGGCTGATCTGGCTCTCTACGAAGCTACCGAACCAAGAGAACAAGGCGGTTCGCCGGAAGGTATGAAGCTCGCAGCCTCGCTTGCGCTGTTTGGTGTGCGCTGTGGACAAGAAGATGCCTGGTTGCCGGAAGGTAGCGCCGGGCTTAGGGCCAGGTGTCTCGTCAAACCCTTAACCGACCGACCGACCGGTGACTCACGTCACAGATGAGGAGAGTAGCGTAGCGTAAGGAACTCCCCACTCTCAGGTGAAAAGCAGGGGAAAGGAACTTTCTGAAGACACACGCCCACACTGCTACATGAAGAACGGATGAATCATCCCTCTTGCTCTTCCTGCAATGCACTTGCGCGTGTCTGTCCTTTGCTGTTGCGTCGTGCAGCCGTCGAAGGTCGGTGTCGGTGAGCCCTTCCTGAATCGACTTCAACAAACCAGGGCCCTTCAGACGGTCAGCCACAAAGCCGCCGCCAACCAAGGAGGATGAAACCCGTTTGTCTGTCTGTGTGTCTGTCTGTCTCTCTGTCTGTATGTGTGTCTTCTAATGCAGTCTGTATCTGAAAAACTACCGCTACCCATGGGATCCTACTGCAGTTGCTGTCCCTCGACCCCCCGACCATTGGCCCGTCGCGCCACGTCGCTTCGCTTTTTGACGAGAGCGGAGAGCGCCCGTCCGCATGTGGACGCTTTACGGCTGTCCGCCTGTCTTCTGATAAGCACCCCCACTTCGCTGCTGCCGCGGAGACGCTGGCTCGCGCCTTTTGCGGCAGCGAGAAGACCAACCCGGACCCAGCGACAGGGTGGGTATACAGCGGAACGTGTGATTCCCTGTTGGCTCCCCTTCCCGGCCCGCCGTCGGAGAAGCGTTTGCAGTGGTTCCGCTGGCTCACTAAGATGGCCATGCACTGGGCTCTGCAGAGAGGCGGTGCCTATGCGCTGCTGGACCGGGCGGAACGAGTCGTCGTCGCCGTCACTCTTGTGAGTCCGCCGGGTGCGCCCTCGGTCGATGAGCTCGGGTTCTGTGGGGAGCTGGGTCTCATTTGCAAGGCCGGGCTTCCGCCGTTTTCGACGGATAGCGAGCGTACGGGAGCGGAGTTCGGCAGTTGTATGGATCGCATGCGGACATTGGAGACGACGCTGGTCAAGGCGCACAAGGAACTAGAGGCGGAAGCGGCAGGGTCTGGCAAGACTGGCGACCTTCACGTCGCCATGGTGGCCGCCGACCCACAGAGGCAGGGACAAGGCGTCGGCTCCGCTCTGCTCCAGCTCGTCTCGG